TTTAGTTCTTAATGACACATATGCATGGCCTAATTTGTACCCACTTAACTTACTGAGATACGTAACTTCACTCTAGGAGAGTTCCTCACAATGAACACTGTAAAAAATGAATCAATATATATCCTTAAGGTAATAGGATTGTGTCACCATTTCTCAGTAGAATTTCTTCAAATTTTGTAGTTATATTGCTTTAAAGTAAAGAAAATATTCTGCCACAAAAAAACCATATAGGATGTCAGAATTTTAAGGTTTTTAAATGGAAATTTATGTAAAATGGAGTGAATTTTGAAAAAAAAATGAAAGACACAATATTTTTACAAAATAATGTCAATAAAAATGATACTGACATATATCGGACTACCTAGGAATAAACAATAATAAGGTACCCTATTCAATCTAATAACCACCCTAGGAATAAACAATAATAAGGTACCCTATTCAATCTAATAACCACCCTAGGAATAAACAATAATAAGGTACCCTATTCAATCTAATAACCATCCTAGGAATAAACAATAATAAGGTACCCTATTCAATCTAATAACCACCCTAGGAATAAACAATAATAAGGTACCCTATTCAATCTAATAACTACCCTAGGAATATCAATGGTTCACATCTGTTTTAATTAAACAATAATAAGGTACCGTATTCACTATTCAATCTAATAACCACCCTAGGAATATTTCATGTTTGCAACACTTTTCCAAACTGTTTTAAGAAGATAGGTATATAAGACTTAAGTAGGTAAAACATGGCAAAATAATAGGCCACCTGGACCAGAAAAGGGGAACTTTATAAGGAGTTTGGTTCATATCAGTTAATTAACACTATTAATCTAGAACCAATGTTTCTCTGCTTCTGCGATAAAATTTGCAATTACCTTATGCTTATTTTCCCCATACTTGGAAAGTATTACAAGCAAAAAAGTGTTTCTCCTGATAATGTATACTTTTGTGTACATTGATTTCTGTGTTTTTTTAAAAACTTTAAAGTCTTTTATATCAAGTTGTGGACAAATTACGACAATTATGTAATTAAGACTAGTACTTCTGTAATTCATCATTCATAAATAATTATAGACTTGTTTCCACTCCACAGACAGCTTCTTTGTTTAGTCTGTCTGGTGTATTCCACACCAGCCCTCGATGTAATTACAAACGTACATGCACAGATAGATTAAACTGTCGGACTATATGTCAAAAGAAATGTTATGCATTAAATCGTAAGGTTACCTTTCATTAAGACATTTGAAGGTTACACCTTAGTGTTTATAATCACCGTAATGACGCCTCGATCCTATTTTCAAAGATTCCGACAAGGACAATGTTTCTTTTGTCAGTTACAAACATCAATTTCATACTAAGAGGTATAAAAATAGTTAAAGTCTGATATTAATATGGGTCTGCATTCACATAATGTACTATATGGGGTCAATGATTTGGAAATGTGTTCATTGGAATCAAAGCCACCTGACATAGGACTGATATTAAATAATGTAAGATAGTCAGACCTTTAATCGCTGAATGGCATTCTTCTCATCAAATTCTTTACCAAATACTATAATATCTATGTCAACTGATATTTTTCTCTACTCGGCGGAGACGAGTCCATAGCATTGTTAGTGTTTAGGATGATCTGAATGTATTGGTGTATACCTGGACCGTGAGATCCGGCTAGTAGAAGTTATAAGAATAACACCATTTACTTAGGACCTTTATAGTATTTGATCTCTTGTGAAAATTGTCTGTTGGAGAAAGATTGTGTTGGTGATATAGAGACATACACAAACATTGAAATGCCTTACCTTTAACGAGATTATGGAGGCCTTAGGTACACAGGTAGAGAAATAGAATTGACTGGCACTCCTTGTGATTGACGTGCTGTCGTTTTGCTGGTGAACCGTTGTACACCTCTCTTGGAAATGTTATTATGATTTCGTTCCTAACTAATCAGTTTCTCAATGCCTAATTGGTTGGAAGATTTTTTCGTTGATTTTAGCGGGACTATGTGTGATCTTGACGTTATTGGAATGGGGCGCTTATGAGAAGAGTTAATGCATGTGTTGTGTGTTTTACCTGTCGTGTGACTGTACAGCTGGGATTTACTTTCGAGGAGGCATAATACTTCATACCAGCTACCAACTGTAAACACACCGGTTAAAAGATAGGATTTGAAATTCAAATTTACTTTTCAATACCTGTGTGATTTTACATTGATGTGTCATCTAACCGCCGTGCATGTATCAGTCTTTATATAGCGTTATATATCCCGGCTTCACCGAGACGACTTTTATCAAGTTTAGAAGGAAAAAAAGTGCTATTCTGTGGATATGGATTTTAATTTCAAATTAGGATACAAGATTATGTCACAAATGTGTAGAAAGTTTCCCCTGATGGATTGCTTTAGATATATATGGTCATGAAGGTTTGTCCGAAATCTGAAATAGATTTGTTTGAATGAGTAAGAGTTTAGATCCAGTAAACTTTGGAGTGAAGGGTACCTTATCTGTTAGGACCAGCCATTAGCCAAGGTGATAAGTGGTGCTAATGTGTCATGTTAGTAAATAATGTTGGTCTACCTGTATTTGTGTCAGTGTTAATATAGAATTACTTCGTGTTGCTGCATTCTGACTGAACGTTTTACAGGTAATCAACAGGTACCAACATTTGTACTACATGTGATGAAAGTCTGTTGATTTGTATGAACGGTTACCCTGAGGTGTCTGTGTTGTGTCGTGGACGACTGGCTGTGGTGTGGTCCAGTCAGTGTAGATAGCCTCGGGGCAGATATTAATCAGGATAATTAATAGAACAAGTGAATCTCTGTAACGGTCTATAGTGATAATCATTTGTCTCCTGTGGTGAATGAATAGGTGAAAACAATCACACCTGACCAGGTAGAGGAACTTCAAGTTTGAAAGGACAGGTAGATTATCTCGTCAACAGGTATATAGACAAATAGATCTGTATCACCTGGTGATTCTGTGATTTAGCACATAGGAACAATGCAGGTACGTTGATAGGATCTAATGAGGATAAACAGAACAGGTATACTTGTTCTAGGATCCAGCGAGAAATTATCCCGAGTACCTGGATTAACTATGTGACAGATTCTGTATCCCTGAGATCTTTGTGCTAATATTCTGTCTTGTTGGAAAGAGAAATATTGGTGTAATAAATAAAAATGCAGTTTGATAAAAACAATGCTTACATGCGGGCTCTTACACCTGATCACTTGATGCTGAAACCAAAGAAGAACAAAGACATGCGAAAACTTTCATTAACATTTACCTACAAGGATTTCTACCATTTCCTAAAGGTTGGTCATATTTGATTTTAAGACTTTTTCAGCTAAATATCTTTCACAAAATATTGACATATACAGTGGTATATCAATTGTATGTATTGTCACGACACGCTGCATTTGTATATTATATTTTCATGCCGCTGCTATAATTGTGACCCTGGGAAGGGGTTGCAATTAGATTAAATCTGGAAGGAGGACAATGTTGTAATAATATTAAGGGGCCAAATGCAGTTGTTATAAATATATACTGATAAATGTGAAAGAAGTTTTCGTCAAAGTTTGTATGGAGTAAATGAGCTGTATCTCTATAGCTAATGGCATGGCCTTGGCTGGGACACAATTATAAGGGTGTACAACAAGTGGTTTTGCTTTGCCATTTGAAAATTTGATGTCTGTCTACTGTATATATACTGATAGAGTTTCAATATCCCACATGCTTCTGTATTTGTCTTGAAGTTGATAGACTTAAACACTCATCCAAAATGTTACCTGGTAAGTTGGCCGACAAATTGTATGTTTGCAGAATGTTTTAACATTGAGTGAAAGAGACTCATGAGCTACTGTAATCATTGCAGATGTGTTCTATTTAACAAATCTAACGTTAGTGCAGGCAAATTCGCCATGCACCCAAATTCGCCACCCTGTGACAAAAATGCCATATGACGTCATAATACATAAGATGTGACGTAAATAATGTCACCATAGTCTTCAACACAGTTAAAGCCTTCAAATATTTTGACAAGAAGAGGTCCTCATAAGAAGGGAAAAGTTATACTTTCAATCAAAACAGTTATGAAATACCTTGTAACACAACGAATCTTAAAAAATTGGTCTGTGCAACGGACATCTCATCAACTAAACTCATAATCTGATGCCAGTTGGTTGTTATTTAGTGTAAATTTATTACATACACATGGAAATACCCATATCTTAATGCTAATTGCAGTTAATGCAAATAAATTGTTTTTTCTACAAGTGTACTTTGGTACATATACAATGTACTGATGATCCAATGCATGTTTATGGAAATGACGATCAGAAAGATCTGCGATTTGAAAATTTGTCAGTTTCCATTTTCATGTAATGTGTATTTAGAATACAATCAACCAGTATCTTTTTAAAAGTATTGTTTGCGTTCGATTACTTGTAAATAAGTTAAATGTTTGAAGGTGGCGAAACTGCCTGCACCTTTGAGCAAAACCATGGAAGCCCTGTTGACGTCCCAAATGTTGCTGCGTGACATCATTAAGGCGTGTTTACAACAATGTTTATTTATAGGCATTTCAATCAAATCTTCTGTACTGGTGCCCGCGCCTGCATTTTGATACATGAATTTTTGGACGAATAATAAGAAATTCCAGCCTCAGATTCATAATTTGATGTCAGGACTATGACACAAAGTTATAAAAAGAGTTTATTTTGTTGTACGATATAAACTCTACCTTTAACATAAATACCATTATTCGGGATACAGTCTCGCTTTATCATAAATCATGCAAATACATACATGTAATGTAGATAGAAAGGGAAATGAAGGGAGATAACTCATGCAAATCCCAGGTAAAACTGTCAGGTTGCACATATACCCTTAATTCCACTTCAAGAGAAGTTTCCAATAATCAGATTGACCCACCATTTACTGGGCAAGGGTCTGTCAACAGTGTTTGATGTGTTTCCTGTATCTGTTGTAGAGAGAGAAAGAACGCACGACTGTAGATGATTCGGGCGAAAGATGGGCCAAACCACACAACATCCGGCACCGAAAGATGTCTCGGTTACAGCAACCCCTCAGCCATTCGCACGAGGTAGGTCATACAAGGGTGTAGGTTACAGCAACCGCTCAGCCATTCTCACGAGGTAGGGCATACAAGGGAGTAGGTTACAGCAACCCCTCAGCCATGCTCACGAGGTAGGTCATACAAGGGTGTAAGTTACAGCAACCCCTCAGCCCTGCGCCCGAGGTAGGTCATACAAGGGTGTAAGTTACAGCAACCCCTCAGCCATTCTCACGAGGTAGGTCATACAATAGTGTAGGTTACAGCAACCCCTCAGCCATTCTCACGAGGTAGGTCATACAAGGGTGTAGGTTACAGCAACCCCTCAGCTATTCTCACGAGGTAGGTCATACAAGGGTGTAGGGTACGGCAGCCCCTCAGCCATTCTCACGAGGTAGGTCATACAAGAGTGTAGGTTACAGCAACCCCTCAGCCATTCGCACGAGGTAGGTCATACAAGGGTGTAGGTTACAGTAACCCCTCAGCCATTCTCACGAGGTAGGTCATACAAGGGTGTAGGTTACTACCACTGCTCGACCATTCCCTTTAGGAAGGTCATATGGGACGTGGTTTACAAATGACCATTCAGCAAGTCTCAGGAGGTAGGTCATACAGGGACACGTTTACATTGGCTGACCATTCTCAGAAGGAAGGTCATACAGGGACACGTTTACATTGACTGACCATTCTCAGAAGGAAGGTCATACAGGGACACGGTTACATTGACTGACCATTCTCAGAAGGAAGGCCATACAGGGACATGGTTACATTGACTGACCATTCTTAGAAGGAAGGTCATACAGGGACACGTTTACATTGACTGACCATTCTCAGAAGGAAGGTCATACAGGGACACG